GAAAATCTGAAGGCTTGTTCAATTTCACATAAAAAATGTACTCCTTATCAAACTGTCTAGCTTCAACGGTTCTTGTGTTATTCGCTCTTGAAGAGATTTACGTTCCAATTCCAATAATATAATATATTATTATATAATTTTACTTATTGAATTAAGAATTGGAAATCCATGAACACCCGAATAAAAAGATTTAGCCCAACATGCCGCATAAAAATATTGCTGGTTTAAGGGATACAGGGTGGTTAAGGAGAAAATATATTGAAATAGAATCTTCTCCTTAACCACCCTGTATCTCTTAAACCAGCAATATTTTTATAAGGCATATTGGGCTAAATCTTCATATTTTGGTGTTTACTATCTGTAGTTCACAGATTTCCCATTCTTAAAATATGAATAAAATTATTGAACTGTGGAAAATGAATCTCTTCAAGAGCAAATAACACAAAAACCGTTGAAGCTAGATAGTTTGACAAGGAGTACATTTTTCATGTCAAATTGAACGAGCTTTCAGATTTTTCACTTACTTTGATCATCAATGAATTGACATAGAAGATATGATGTAAATTATCGAAGTAACACAGTGTCACTAGCACCCTCTATGAGCAATCACAAAATAAGTTGCAAATTCATATTCCTCATGTCAGAAAATCGAGAAATACAAGATTTCATGTTCATGCTGTTGAAACTAACAAAGTTATTGTGAAATTTTGAAATGAAATCTCCCCCTAGAACACCCTGTATCTCCTAAACCAGCAACATTCTCATCAGGCATATTGGGCTAAATCTCATTATTTTCGTGTTTACTATCTGTAGTTCAGAGATTTCCCATTCTTAATGAATCACCCTGTATATTATTATTATCATCAGGTAACTTCGTAACTTCAATAGGGCAATGTTAGGTAATGAAAATAAATGAAGTAATATGTTACCTATGATATTATTGTTGACCAATAGAAAAAATGAAAAAAAAGAAACAACGAATAAAAATTTCGGGCATATACCTTGTTGACTTGACCGATACGGTATGGAGGCGTATTGTTTTCTTTCCGTTTCCTGTAATGGATTATTGATGGGCTTCAATTTGAATTTTTATTACCGAGGCCAAGCCATGTCAATAATATTAATAGCTAGTGACTATTGTGGTATTGGTATTGTTTAGTAAGCATGATCCATTCATGAATTTGACATGGTATTTTTTTTATTCGAAATTCGTTCAATACTATGTTCGTTATGTATGACCAAGTATTTCAAAGATTTGCAGTTTCAAAATACATATGCTTAGTACCGGATGGATATGGTGAATCATTTTGAATTCTCCATCATTTCTCATAGATGACGGAAGCAATAACATTCTAATGAATCATATTAACAACATAATCAATTCAGTATGTCTTGTCCATAAATGTATACAGGGTGTCTATAAAAGGTCTTTACAGAGACATACCACATATTCCTTAGACCAAAATAAGTCGATTTAAGTAAAATTACCTCAGTACGAAGTTGCATCGTTTGGGCTCCAGAGGGCCTTGAAGTTATAATTTTTAAATCGTTTTTCCCGAGGTTTTTCCCATATAAATTCGAAACATCATATGCGATTTTGCTGAAATTTGGTATATTGATAGAATTTTAGGTGGCAAAAAAAATGGTGTTGAAATTTTGTCCGATAATAATACATAGGCGTAGAACTTGATTTTTTAAATAATTGCACCTTTAACAATTCTACGCCAATGGAAGAGAAGGAGTTTGAGTATAAAATTTAGATTGCGCAACTTATTCACTCTCAAAAAGGTACTCTTGATGAGACTCGATTGCTCTCATGATTTTGACGAAATTTGCATTTTAGTGATTTTAGAACATAAAAAATAATTATTATAATACAAACTTTCTCAAAACCATGAGAGTAAATCGATTGTTATCAAGGGTACTTTTCTGTAGTAACTGAGTACCCAATCCAAAATTCATACTCAACCCCTTTTTCTGCCATTGGCGTAGAACTTAATTTTTTAAATAATTGCACCTTTGAAAATTCTACGCCAATGGCAGAAAAGGGGTTTGAGTATGAATTTTGGATTGGGTACTCATTTACTACAAAAAAGTACCCTTGATGACACTCGATTTTCTTTCATGGTTCTGACAAAGTTTGTATTTTAATAATTATTGTTTATGTTCTAAAATTACTAAAATGCAAATTTCGTCAAAACCATGAGAGCAATCGAGACTTATCACGAGTACCTTTTTCAAAGTAAATGAGTTGCGCAATCTAAATTTCCTACTCAAACTCCTTTTCTTCCATTGGCGTAGAATTTTTGAAGGTGCAATTATTAAAAAAATCAAGTTCTACGCCTATGTATTATTATCGGACAAAATTTTGACACCATTTTTTTTATTTATTATTATATATTATATTAAATTTATATGGGAATAACGATTTTAAAATTGTAACTTCAAGGGCCCTCTGGAGGCCAAACGATGCAACTTTGTACTGAGGTAATTTTACTTAAATCGACTTGTTTTGGTTCAAGGAATATGTGGTATGTTTTGGTAAAGACCTTTTACAGACACCCTGTATATAAGATCCTATCATCCAAAATAACATTTTCCAAATTGTGTGAATCTATAAAGCAAAAAGAAAAAAAATGGAGATTAGGTATGTTGATTTTATGACCTGACAATCATTAATCTCTGAGGGGAAGAATCTCAAAGGCAATTTTTAAGAAATTTCTGAAGGCATATCAACCAACAATTGTGCGGCTGGCTTCTGTTTGTTGACTCCGTTATTTTGTTGTTTCATCTTCCACCAAGTGTTGCCTATCTTTCACACTGTTTTCACCGTAATGATGAGGGCCGAACGCTCGAAACACGTGTCTACGGTTATCTTTTCATGAGGGCTTTGTCCACTATTTTCTTCTCCGTTGTTTACAACATTCCCCTCAATATTCCTTTCATCATATCATGATACATATCATGATATACAGGGTGATTCAGGTTTTGAGGCACAAACTGTAATGGGAGATAGACTCGGAGATAGATCTCATCATTTCAATCGGATAAGTTCATATAAACATTAGTCCGATCTCGTCCAGAAGCGGAGCTACAGGGGGTCAAAGTTCAATAATTTTCTTCTATTAATTGAAATATCTCGCTTACTTCTGGAGATTTCATTTTGAAATTTGGTGTGGTCAATACTTCCTAGAAGATCATCATTTCAAGCTATTTGTAGATTCTCAAAATCTACAGGGTGATATGTTTTTGTGGGTAGAGGCTTCTTTATCCCCCCCAAACTTTTTCGTCGTACGCCTCTGGCGTCTTCCACTGATCAAATTGTGTGGATCGTTCAATTTGGAAGTTTTTTGCTTCCTGATACTTTTCGAGAAAACGAACCGTTTTTGAGATAAATGAGCGAGTAAATGAGCATATACGTTCTAAGACATGTAAATTTTGCCTATGTTTCGCTTAAATATCATTCTTTGACAAAATTCGTTGAGAATACAATGAAATGTACTCATTAAAATTGCAATCTCTAGTCCAATCTGGATCAGTTACGGGAATACGGAGGGTAAAAAGTCGAGTTTTTTTTTTTCAGTTAAATGAAATTTAAGCGAACAGGCAAAATTAACATGTTTCAGAACGTATATGCTCAATTATCTCAAAAACAGTTCGTTTCTCGAAAAGAATTAAGGAACAAAAAAGCCTCTAAATTGAATGATTCACACAATTTGATCACAAGAAGATGCCAGAGGCGTACTACGAAAAAGTTTGGGGGGGGATAAAGAAGCCTCTACCCCCAAAACCGTATCATCCTGTAGATTTTGAAAATCTTAAAATGGCTTGAAATGATGCTATTCTGAATAGTATCGGCCACACCAAATTTTAAAATAATATCTTGAAAAGTAAGCGAGATATTTCAATTAATAGAAAAAAAATAATAAAACTTTGACCCCCTGTAGCTCCGCTACTGAACGGGATCGAACTGATGTATATATAAACTTTTCTGATTAAAATGAAGAGATCTACCTCCCATTTCAGTTTGTGCTCTAAAACCTGAATCACCCTGTATATCACTTGATATACAGGGTGGGCCACCAGTAACGCCTCGGTCTCTAGAAGGCTAACCACTCATCTTCTTGGAATTCTTCCTCTCTAGGAAGTTGCATGTGAACATAGGCTACCATTTGAAATTATTTTGAAACATACAGAATGTCCCCAAAAATCACAAAACACTGAAGTTGAACTTTTTTCAATCGAACACCCTATATATTATTTCATTTTGAGATTCTCCCTGGTGAGCTGATTTCAACAATCCATCATACTTGGGGTCTAGCAGTTATAATTACTGAGATATAGGGTGTGAGAAATCGAGATTTTCCAAGTTCAAGAATTTTTTGTGTCTAAACCATTCATAATTGGTCAAAACGACTCACATGTCCCTATCTCAACTTTTGATCAACTATCTGACATTTAATTGAAACAAATACAGGGTGGTGCAGAATTTAGAATCTTGATAACCTGGTATATGTCCCAATTGAATATCAGTAGATAGTTAATCAAAAGTTGAGATAGGGACATGTAAGCCGTTTTGACCAATTATGAATAGTTTCGACACAAAAAATTCTTGAACTTGGAAAATCTCGATTTCTCACACCCTATATCCCAGTAATTATAACTGCTAGACCCCAAGTATGATGGGTCATTGAAATCAGCTCATCAGGGAGAATCTCAAAATGAAATAATATATAGGGTGTTCGATAGAAAAAAGTTCAGCGATTTATGGTTTTTAGGGACACCCTGTATGTTTCGAAATAATTTTAAATGGTAGCCTATGTTGACATGCAACTTCCTAGAGAGGAAGGATTCCAAGAAGATAAGTGGTTAGCCTTCTAGAGACCGAGGCGTTACTGGTGGCCCACCCTGTATATCCGCCAACCCTGTTTGAGATATGGATGATTTTCATGATTTATAAACAAAAATCAACCCTCTCTCTCTCTCTCTCTCTCGCTTACCTGCTCTCACGTTGACATCTCGCGACCGAATCTCCCCCTCCCCGTTCTTCGCCAGACAAGCGTACACTTGCGCGTGCACCTCCTGCCTATAATCCTCTGCTCGGAACGGCGGAAACACCAGATTCCCATTGGCCAACACCTGCCGCAAACCGGGTACGTCTCCCACGGCCGTGCCGTCCGATCGGACCCAAATCAGGTCGGGCTGGGGGCTGCCTCTGGCCGAGCATTCCACCACGGCGCCGGTGGTGTTGGAGAAGTCGATGCGATTGGGGGGTTCGCGGAGGAAGACCGGACCGGATGTGGTGGTGGAGGTGTCGTCGTCGGCTTTGGCCGACGTGAGGAAGAGGAGGAGGAGAGGAGGGACTAGCCCGAAGACGAGCAGCATCGCGACGACCGTACGCGTCGACGGTTACCTGAAAACAATTAAATACGAAAAGAAATTGTAGTACTGAACAAAATTGAGTATATAAAAAAATATGGAGTACGAAAACATGAGAAATATTGCAGTATGAAAAATACTGGGAAAAATATTGTAGTACGAACAAATTGTAGAACAAGATAATTGTTATGCGAAAAACTTTATATGCCAAAAGATAGTGTGTTATCAAAAATAGTGCAGGAGTCAATTGTTTTGCTACCGAGTCAGGAACGGACTACCCCTGACTAGACGGTGGTCCACACCGCAAAACTTTGAAATGACAGATATTTTTAGATATTTTTGAAAACAAGGTTACCTAGACAATTTCCTGAATGAAAGTACTGGTGTGGAAAATCGATCTGAGCAACGACTTTTGATAAAAGTGCACTTTAGTTCGACGACATCAAACCCGATCGTCCACCATAATTTGAAATGAAAATTTTCACAGCAAAAATAATTATGATACCGTTAAATCAACAATATTCACAACAGGGATAATACAAAATATGCTAGAATTAAGTCGTAAACAAACAGGGCCTGTAACTTGGTAACGAAGGATTTTAGGAAAAAGTGGTAAAACTGCACTTATATCATGCGATAGGTTTTTTTTTCGGAAATATCGTTTGGTACTTACGTATTTTTGTCGAAAAAGCACGAATTTGATAATAAAAATGTGAACAAACCATTATTCATCAAGATATTTCACTATAAAGTTACAAATTTCACTTTCTTTTCCGCCTGTTTTTTGGATCGCATTTAGAACAATTTGTCCTTCTTTTTTCATCATTGGACAATAATTATTTATACATCACAATGTACCTACTTCAATGACACATTTTTCTCTATTATATGAATCAACTAGAAATATGATTTTCTTGCGATTCATTCATATTTAGTGAAAAGTAGAAAGAATATCCTTTAAAATACTGGCGTGTGTAATTTAATTCAAAAGCAATCTGTTGACATTTCACATCTCGTATGTGGATTGACTATCGATTACATGGCCGTCATCTGGTATGATTGTTCACTAAATAATATGAAAAACTCGCCACAAAAATCATAATTATTTTGTGTTGAATTTTCTATATCAAAATGTGTCATTGAAGTATATCATGAGTATATAAAGTGTCCAATGACAAAAGAAGAAAGCGAAATTTCGAACATTTTCTTGAAATATCTCGATGAATAGTGGTTTGTTCACATTTTCATTATCAAATTCGTGTTTTTTTGACAAAAATACGTATGTAACAAACAAATTTTCGAAAAAAACCAATCGCATGATAAGTGCAGTTTTACCAAAAAAAGTTATAATGAAGTACTAGTGATCTTTTGACTCGTCTTTTGACCTTATCTATAGGTACATTCTCGAGAGGAAAAGATGACGTTCACGGACACCATGTATCAACATGAAAAATATCTTAGTGCGAAAAAAACAGCGGTAAGACCCTAAATAGTACGGTATAGTATAAAAATATTGTAGCATAAAAAATATTGCAGTACAAAAAACGGGACAAAAAATTTGTTGAGTGAGACAGAGATAGTATGACAAATATTGCAGTGCGATGGTGCTTTGTTTTTCTTCCCAACAATATTGAGAATGTATTTGAACTAAACATGACTAGACAAAGATATAGCTTAGGTCATCTGATAAAATATGAATTTGCAATCACAACAAAAATTGAGCGGACTTGATAGTCAGCTGACAAGATCACATTTCAAAACATGTCTGATTTATCAATATCAATATTGTGAGATGATCCAGCTGTTTTCTCCGATTATATCAGTAGTCCTTCACAAGAGCCACATCAATTTTCATTTGCATGCCCAATGAATACCTACATATTATTATCATATGCCAACTTATACAGGGTGACATTTAGAAAACTTACCCTCAATATCTTCCTTCCAGTGAATGAATATGAGAAATCGAAAAAACAGGTCGATTTCATTTTCAAGGGAGACACTCAAAATTATTATTTTTAACCCAGTTTGTTCAACCCCCTAGGAGGTATAGATGTTACCCTTAGAATCTCAAATAGGGAGGGGGGTCAAGTAGCACATCATTTTGAAGAGCGTTCAGCGTTCAATTCTCTTTCCAACGGTACCCTATAGTTAATCATTTTTTGTTGAACAGTTTCCGAAAAATGCAGTGAAGATTTCCACCCTTAATATCTTCCTTTCAGTAAATTATATGAAATATCAAAAAGACGCGTCAATTTCATTTCCAAAGGAGACACATATAAAATGCATATTTTTAGCCTCTTATAGTTCAACCCCGTAGGAGGGTCTCCCTTGAGAATGAAATTTTCATATTATTTACTGGAACTCAAAAGAAAACCGTTGGAAAGAGAATTGAGCGACCTTCAAAATGATGTGCCACTTGACCCTCCTTCCAATTTGAGATTCTGAGGGTAACATCTACCCCTCCTAGGGGGTTGAACCAAGAGGGGGCTGAAAATATTCATTTCAAGTTAAGTGTCCCCCTTGGACATAAAATTGACCTGTCTCCTCGATTTTTTATACTATTTACCTCGTTTTTTACCAATTATTTACTGGAAGGAAGATGGGAAGTTTGCAAAATATCACCCTGTATGCGATGAACCATATACACCACGTTCCTAGACTAGCAAACAATTTTATGAAAATTACGATTCATGCCTATCTAGCCGACTACCAAAGTACCTATTTCAAGGGGGTATCATTTTGACTATTTAATTTATGTTTCGTAAGCCGGTGTGATTTTGCCATTATCAAAGCGAAAAAAGTTTCTCATTACTTTTCCAGGGACAAAACCGACACTTATTTGGAAGCCTGACAACCAAAATTATTGTAAACAAGTTTTTGATGGTGTTTTCTCAAACTTGTGTTGTCAGAAAAAGTTTCTATAATCTGTGGAAACGTCAGGATTTGGATGAGAGTCTTCGAGTGGAGAAATTGAAAAAAACCATCAACAATGATGTGTTTTAACGTATTCATCAAATTGTCTTACACGCAAGCATTTTTTTCGGGTCGAAGTGAACTTGACATTTATAAATAATTCGATTTTTTTTTTGTCTTCGAACAATACATTTTTAAGTGAAACCCCGCTGACAAACCTATAACCATCAATTTGAAGGCATTTGACCTTGAATAACAGAAAAATTTCGTCAGCGGCGCTTTTTTTGCTTTGAGAGTAACATGGACGTTTATTTTTTATGTGGCTAATGTACATAGTAATCTCGATAGTTATATAGATAGTTATGACTATTTTATGACTATATTTTGGTACCACAAAGTAAAGATAATATATTGATGCTTGCTTCTATTGAGACACAACGGACAATCTTTTCTCTGACATTTTTCTTGGACATCATTATTTTCTGAGTTATTTTCCGATTTCATAAGAAGCTTTACGACTCCACGAATAATGGTGAGCTAGCAAGCTCGTAAATTTTCTCGTCAATTTTCCACCAGATTTTTCAACAAATTCGATACCACCGATATCGAGTCCCATAGTTAGTTATTATCGAGGGTTTCCGATTCCAATTGTTTCGAAGGATTTGCAAAAACTTTGGACAACGATATTCTAATAAGTATGTTTCTCACGAGGGGCGAACCGCTAATGAAGTCTGCAGTGGGACTCTGTAACTTGTGTCGCATAGCGAAAGCGTAGCGAAAGCGAAACGAAGCGAAGTATACGACTTCGCTTTCCGGTACTCTATATGTAGTTCGTTATGCTTTCGCTATCGTCATACGATTTCATACGAAATAGAACGAAGTTGGTGGAGTTAAATTTGGCAACAGTGTTGCGGATCCCATTTATTCAAAGGAAACATCCCATTGGATCAAAAAAGCGGCATTTACGAATGGGCATTTCCAGTTTCAAAAAATTTGCAGTTTTTTTGTCATAATGTTATGAAGGACCATCCGAATCATAGTCCAGAATTTTTTTTATTTTTTTATTCCAAACCATTGCCTTATAAATCAGTGTCGAAATCGCGTGATTCAAACACGAATATTCAAACGTTTAAAATGTGGTGGCAGTTTGTGACGTCAGGGCGCGTAGTGATTTGATTGGTTGAATATGGTAATGGTGACAGAGGGGCGGGATTAGCTGAGAGAAACAACACAGTTGCCAGGTCTTTATGAAATATCTAGATATAATATAAATAGGAATTCAAATAACTGAATCTTGATCAATACATTGCTGACTATTGTTCACTTACCAAGAACTTGAAAATATGAGATATTACCGAGGGTATTATAGCGTATTTTCATAATAATTTTAGGTACACAAATTTCCATTGGGATCATTGTTTTGTATTATTTAGTTGCTATAAATAACTGATTCAGTTATCGGTTAGTTCGATATATCTCATGTCATGACTAATACTTATCAAAATATCTCGATATACCAAATTTAAACGTGTTTTGACCATTAACGTTCCTTCTCCCTGGAAAATATAATAACTTATGTGGCAACCATGCTTTATCTTTAACATAACCTATAACCAGACGTGGTCGTCAGTCGAAGCACAAACACGAAAGTCACACCAACACTGTTGCCGAGCCTTTTCCAACGATTTCTAATATTCACTGTACACTAATCAAATTGAATAGTAACTGATGATGTTCTGGATATTTCAGAATCAATTGAATATAACTTATATTATTGTTCTCAAATTGTTGCTATCAATACATATTATATTATCTTCTGATGATCAATCTCCTAATCATCCCTAATCAATTGAAAGTACAGTTTATATACCTGACCCAAAATACCTCTTACGAGCTCATTAGATAGGTAAATACCTACCTGGTTTTCTCTATGTGAGATAGGTACTGAAATACCCTGCACCATCTAGATGTTGAATTATTTCTTCCTCGTTTTGTCCTAAGAGTTCGTACATTTTATGTAATATGGCAACATCGAAAAACTTTTTATTGATTTTTCAGCAAGCGAGACAACATCATACAACATGACCGTGTAACCAATCGAAATCGTTCGCGCGCTGTCGTCAAACGGTTCCCTCCCTTTAATACTCGTTTGAATTCGTTAGATCATTTTGCCGTTTTCAATAATTTTTTTATCTAAGATCCGGCCAAAATAAAAATCCCAAAAAATTTGTATAAGGTTCTTGAGAGTCATTTATAACCAAATATGATTTTTCTGGAAATCACTGGAAATGCCCATTATTGTAAGTATTGTTAATTTTTGGTTCCAATCAGAAATAAAGCACTTGGAGAAGTTTCCGAGAGAAAAGAAATTCAATAAAACATCAAAAACACATATGAAGATGATTTATTTCTATGAATTGGAATGAATGTATTGACTACAAACAGATATTGACATCAAGGCCAACAAAAATAGTAATCAGCCAAACAAGAACTTATTCTGCACAGAGCAGCTCATTGGAAAATATGTACCTACTTTGTTCATATAAAAAATTGGTATTTATATTCTCACTAGGTATATCTCAGGTATAGCTTTCTATTTATATGCAACTAGTAAAGGCAAATGATCTGAGAATAACAATAATATTGTAAGATATGTAACTGCTTATACATATTTATAATGGACATATCATTTACTCTTGATTCTCCCTTATTGGTACACAGTAATATTACACAGTTCTTCTTGGGTGTCTCCGAGGTTTTTGCTATCCAAATTTTGTTTCCTTCCAATGCACTTATTATGCAAATTCTTCAAATTTGAATGTTCCGGGCTTTCTGTTATGTTTCACTGTTGTAGGTATCGGCATATTATATTAGTAGGATTCTTTAATTACCTATTATTGTCTTCTTCAATGGACTCACACCAGACATATTTTTCTTAACAAGGATTCAGTGAGACAACATTCAGTAATGGCACATTTCATTTTTTGGAGTAGCTACTTATATCTGCCTGTTTTGATGTATCAGGAAAAAAGAGAAGGATAATTCGAATGAATATGAATTATTCCCAGACCCTATTCAACAGCACTAATGACAGTTTTCAGTTTATTTTTCAACTACCAAATGAGCTGTATGTTTTCATCACACTGTCTATCATATTTTTTATCTCACGTCTCACGTTCTTTCATCCCCTACCTTAATCCTACCAAATGGAACTTCCATCTCTCTGGAATATCTTTAGGATTTTGTTCGTAAAACTGAGGAATCTGTCCCACTGACTGAGTTGTGTTTTTGCTCTCTTTGTTATCCATGTTTGGGTTAATTCCTCATTTATTAATTTATTATTTTTCTCAAATCAACACAAAGTTCAGACTAGGAACAACAACAAAAACCAATACCTATAACCTCAATCGTTGAGAATCGCAGAAAGCGGCAACCGAAATCCTTCGCTTCTGCTTCGCTTACGAACTCACGTTCGGCGTCTCCGACCTCATCCGAATATTGATACAGAGTACCGAAACGGCAAAAGCAGTCGATTACGCATGCTTTCGCTTTCGCTTTGAGTTACAGAGTCCCACTGCTGGTGTACACGTTGAAGAAGTCTCGATGAAGTCAGGTTAGGTTTTCAAAGCAATGTAAAAGACTTTGTTTTATAATCTAGTCACGGGGGTACCTGATATTTTGTTAATTAGATTTAATCAAGAGTTTTGAATGATAAGTTACCTACTTTATATTATCTAATGGTGAAATTGAGAGATTATTTCTTTTTTTTTCATCTAGTTCATATAATACGCATATAAAATATGTCTCGAATATGTTTTCATCGGGAATATTCATCTTGATTTGTTCATTTGAATGACTGATAATTGTTATTTTGGTAATTTCGAATATTCTAAGATATAAAAACAGCTTTAATAAAAGTTGAAGCTGATAAACCAACATTTTGTGTTGATTTATACACTGAAACGCGATGTACTACTAGGCAACCCCCAAATAATAATTCAATTTCCGCTACTGAGTACCACCCCTACAAAAAAAAAAAACTACGCGACTGTTCTTGAGTGAACATATAGGTACTTACATCTGGATATGATTTTTTCGAGGATTTTCATTATCTCTGAAATCATTCAATATTTAAATTTCATCGTGAACCTAGTAATTAAGCAGAAAAACTTATACCTACCTACCCATGAAATGTTAAAAATCCCAGAGAAAACGCAGTGATTGTACATACCATTATGTACCTATACCTAACCTATGTATATATATGAGGCCGAAATAATAGGATAAACAGTAATAGTAGATATAGATATAGCAATATATACCAATCAAGGCCGTACCCAGGAATTTTTTAGGGAGGGGGGTCAAAGAAAAAAGAACTGATGCTAATTCAATTTTTTTTTCGAAAAATGGATACCCGAGGGAATACCAATAGTGATTTTTTCGCCAAACTCATGACAATAATCACCCATCCGCCAGTGTCACATTTATTTTGGTAGAAAAACACCTGGTTTGTCTCAATGGTTGGTATGGGTTCATTAAATATTAGCAGGTGGTCCTTCGTATACCTACCTACCTCGACCAATACCGACCCAAAATAATACTGAAAGGAACAGCTGCTGTACCATTTATGAATTATAATTCGTCCTCATGGCAGTCATAGCATGGTAGCTATTAAAGATACAAAGAAAGATAGGATGGGTAGTTTGATGATCTTCGTCTTTAATCTTCTTTACATCATAACTCGCATCATAATATTTATTATTCTTTCAAGGTACAGTAAAATAATAATCACTTCCTTAGGGGACTTCTATTAATAGGCACGTTATGAATTCTAATACACACAGAGATTGAACAGGAAGTCGATTTTATAAGTAGACATCATAAATAATAAATAAAATAAACACTGCACCACAATAATATGGGTTAAAAAATTTGGCTCGAGGCACTGGAACATAAATTCGCTAAAATAAAAGCAAAAGTAATGATCTTCATGTATAATTCCGAATTTTGCGGAACAATAATAATTCGATCTAGCAGCGTAAATATTGACAGATTCGGCACAGACCGGCGTGGGTGGTGAATTTAGAAATACAGCACATCCTGTCACTTTTTTTTCATCTATCCCTGTATTCAGACTGAAATACACACTTTTCTCGACTCACCTCGAAAGATTATTAGTCAACACACTCACTAGAATCACAATTATTCAATGCAAAAAGTCAATAATCGACAAAAACTGCATAAAAACACCAAGAGATGACACAGACTCCTTTCACGCCACAAACTGACTAAACAACAATATCGAATAATCAACAAAACGCAAACGCCTTCACTGGACCGAGTCTGGCCGAACGAGGGGAGAATGCCCGAAGCTATACGAAGCCCACTCAACATGTATTGTTGGTTGCCCTGCAAATTTCTAGTGTTGCCGGGTGTCGAGAATATTCTTGAACGCGCGGATTTTGCTACCATGATACCATGAAGAATGACTCACATTTCCTATTTTTTGATTATCAAATTCCCCCTCACCGCTGTCAAACTTGGGATGTATCACTTTTCTAGGTACTTGCGTATAGCAATCTATTAAATTTATGTAAAATGAATTTGAAAATAGGTACTGGAAATGTCACTACAGATATCTGGCAACTATGCCGACTCATGTATTTTCTCATGTACCTTGATAGGCGGAAAAATCAATTTCCGTATGATTAGATTATGCTCCAGAATCTGAATTGTGAATCATTTTCTCAATGAAACTGCTACAATGAAAATCTATAATGTTAGTTTGCCAAAATCGCTCAATTTCTAAACAAATATTCCTACCCATTTTACGGAAAGGGTAGAGTTTGAAATTTTAAAGAAATAAGCAGACCAACAATTATACAAACTTCAATATATTATTTTTCTTATCAAAAATATAAAATCTTGGTAGGTAAATTTATATAAAAGGGACAAAACTTAATAAATAAAAAATAGAGCTTCAGTCATATGCTATGTAATCTTCCCTTCTCATGTTGGCAGAAAAAGATGTTGGGTCATCAATCAGTCTTTCCCAAATTTTATAATACTCTTCACTTGTTACATTATCATATGGAATGTTTCTTTCTCTCAAAAAGTTTTTCAACACCTGAAAAAATTTAGGTAGAGTAGATAATAAGGTGAATGATGAAAGAAAAGAATATATACCACAGTTGCAATTTTTTACCTGTTTATCATCAAATGGTTCTGGTGCCCTGTTACCTAAATGCCCATCAGTGAAAATTTGTAAAACATAAAGAAGGTAATGGAATGTATACATTTTATCACCTTGAATAGCCTGAAAAAAATATCCCACAGTGAACAAAGCCATTGAAAGAAAAGAGGACATACTTGGAAAGAAATTGAGGTGTTACTACAACATTTAGTGGGGAAAACACTTGTCTTATAGTAATTTTCCCCTGGAAATAGTGCTTGGTGCCAAGAGTATGGATGAAACCTAGAATACCCATCATGGTCTCTAGTATCCATGGGAGTAACATTCACCATGGATAAATGTTTTCCTGAAAAACATCAAGGTAACAATCACTGAAACACCATTTGACCAGAGTACTCACCTAAATAAAAGTCTTCTCTATTCCAAAATGAATTCAGTGAGCAATCCATTCTGCTGAATTTATTTTGTAAAGCTGCCAAAGCACCTCTACTTAATACATAACCTGCTTGACCAGAATTGTAAATAGTGCTCCAAAAAGCTACAGCATACCCTAAATAATACTTTTTGTCAGCATTCAGAGGTGCTATATAATACCTGAGATTCTCCATAATCACGAAAGTGCTATCATTAACCACCATTATCCAATCAGAGGAGTTTGCTAATTCAATCAATGTTTGACAGAGCAGCACCCAAGAAGAATTTTCTTTAGTTTTCTTGATAGCAACTGGCTTATTGGTCTTTGTTTTCACTTGCACAAGCTTAACATGATTACAACTTTTTGCCCAAGTAGCTTTACAAGCTTTTGCATTTTTTTCATTGTGAACAAGAACAACACACTGTACATTTATCTTAGAACGAAGGATATCAGATTCTATCACAGATTTTAGAGAGTTATTGTATCTTAATGTATCCCATTGCAGGGTTGTTCTGGTGAATCTTTGACTTGCAAACCATCGGGAGTAGGACAAGGAATATTTCACTAACTTCTCAGGACTGATTTTGTTGGTGATATGAATACAAGATTTAGCGATTAGGTAGCCGAAAAACACCCCACAAAAGAGAATAGTAAGCCTAGAGTAAAATTGGACCATTACAACTGTTTAAAATTTCATTTCACATCTTGAAGTAAAAAAGGTTATGTTCAATCTTCTTCCCTTTTTCTATTGGATTTTGCAGTTTTGCTTAACTGTTTGGGCTATCCGGGAATAATCTGTCATGATCTTCTTCTCTTTAATTCGAAAGTCTCTTGCGTGATGATTTCTGCTCGTTTTCTGAGAATTTCGATGTAACTGCAGCTTTTTCCTTTCAGTTTCAATAACACATAATGCTGAGAATGATGGACATTTCCATTATTACGCTGAAATAATCCTTCCGATAGTAGAATATACCAGTGAACAGCGATGGAAGTAAGATATGGTGTAAATACTGATGCGCTTTTGTTTTTTGTTTTTGAAATTTTACTCGACCTCTCGAGAACAGCGAGAGCAATGGTTCCATCGATCTCCTAATAGATGGCGACATTGCACAATTATGACATCCTGATACTAATAGTTCAATAGTGTAACATCTGCCCCAAGAATATAAAATAATAGCCCTGCCATAGTAGTTTTCTATTTGCTTCCTTAAATCAACAAATTTAGAAAAAAAACTTTTGGTAAAAAATGATCTTGTTCGGTCTTGTTACACGACTATTGCTCTGAATTATATAATTGATATTATAAAGCTCTGTGATCAAAAATCATCATCATTATTAGATTAGTAAGTACAATATAACTATAATCACTACAGTAACAATGATATAGCATAGTTTTATAAGTTTGTTTTCAGTGTTGAAATTAACCATTTAGGGCTATGCAATGTAACAACTCTGAATCACTGAAAATATTTCACAGTCCAAAACTGTAACAAATCGTTATTCTTGTATGGAGTTATTACAATATGGAATTATATGGAAATGATGTTTCCTTCAGTTCTATAGAATAACTAGCACCATCTCGCTTGGTCAGTAAGTACTGGAACTTTCAGTTGTTACAGTATAGCACGTGAAAGCTAACCAAATGATGAATCAGATAGCGTATACAACTCAAAATTGTTATTTTCCGAGTTGAACAATCCCACTGTTACATATGTTCCGCGTACCTCCATCTAGCGGGAAAATGTAGTATCAACGTCTCGCTCGTTGTGACGTAGAGAAATCATAGTAGGCGGTCAAGTGATTTTTCTGGAATTTTCAATTCGTGATAGAAATTAACACGTTGCCCCACCGGATGGCAACAACTTGAACACGTCTGAAAGGTTTGTTTTGATGTAATGACCAATAGGCACAAACAAAAAACAAATGTGAACCAATGAAAACGAAGTTAACAGGCCGCTTTGACAGCTTTCAAGAACTCCGATAGGTGGCGTATGCTTATATTCTATCGCGAATACGTAATGATGGCCGAATACGCGCACCATATCTCACTTTTTGATTTTGTATATCTCTGGGCAAATTTCTTCTTCTTCTTACGACCTCACATTCAAATAGGAGCATGAAGGTAAACAAATTAAAAGATAGGTGACTACAACAGATAAACATTTATTTTGGGCCCAACAGAACACATTCAATAACATAAACAATAAAGAATGATTTTGTATATATTATATAATACTTATATTATTACACCACACACTTAAAAATATAGGAATGTAAATATATTTTCAATAATGCTAGGCCAAGCAACAAATATCTTAGACATCAGAGGTATTATGCTAAGAAATGATTGAACAAAAATCCTCCGAAAGTGTGTACGCATAATTCAAAATGACTGAGAGATATGTTGTTTACATTCAGTTCATTGTATGAAAGTGAGATGGAAGTATACCTACCTACCTTAAAAATGTCCCATTGGTACTGCATTCCAGATAAGAAAATAGGTGGCGCTGCGTATGAAGATATGTTCACACAGGTGGAATAAAAGATGTCGCCTAATTAAAAAATGATTAAGTTATTTCACTTTATTGAATTCTAGGTTGTTCTCAGGATTTTTGTAGCATAGGTGTACTCAGGATAATACGGCAGATTATTGAAAATATGGTTAGGTTTTGCCTCCAGTAACCAATTATACTGAATAGGTATATTCTATCTGGAATAGCTCCTTGAGAAAATACGTGATTCTTTTTATGAATGAAAAAAGATTTTTCTCAACCAACATTGAGCTCATTAATAATGGTCTTTCGTTTTTGAAAATCTAACGCCATGTTGCCAATTTAAAGCGATGCGTCTGTAATGCAGAAATATTCGAAAAAGCAACCAATTTTAATATATACCTCTGAAACATTTATAGGTATGGATTATCTATACCATTGCTTATTATACAAAACTTTGATTCTTCCATAACATATACAGGGTGGATATTTCAGAATAATGATAAATTCTATTATTTATTTCCTAGTTGCAAACGTTCTCAATTATGAATGACACTTTCATCACTTCCCTGGAGGATTTTTGCTTGATTTTGCCCTCGTCTAATTATTACTATGATAATATTCATATTTCATCTTATCATTCTGATATTTTCATTCTTTTTACACATATACATACATATTAATATGTTGGTTTTTTTGAAATACTGTAGGGTAAATTCTGATATATGTATAGATAGGTATTTAAATATAGATATTTGAAATATTTTTCAATTTAAAACTCTAAACTCATGTTCATTTTCTTCAATAGAAATACTCTTTCCATCTGTATGGATGTCATCGCAGTATGAAAATATTATAGAAAATATATTTGTAAATTCGGTGATATGATTCGCCGTCAATAAAGTGACTAAAAATCACGTAAAAAACTCAGATATCCTCAAGAAACTACCAATAAATTTGTGACCTTGTAACAGCGAAATTAGTTCATTTCATTCTGAACACCACTGTACAAATTTTTTGCACCAAACAAAAACTGACTGATATGATAATTCGGCTGATAATTTTTTGCTTCAGGTGATTTGTCTGTGGATAGTCTCAGAAAAAATGAGTCTTTATGATGAATTCGATAAAATATTCGATTCAATTATATCATAATGCCTTACAGGAATTGTATAATTGACTAAAATTAAAAAATATCACATCAAGAAGAGCGTACGAGTTTTTTTTTATTATTTGCGGTTTAAAAGCTGAATTTTCCCCTGACTTTGAAGTAGCCCAAAGAATTGCGATTGTGGATTATGGACCCCAGACCGATGTAGTTTTCCAGCAAGATGTTGTGTTGCAGAATAATACCGTTTTCTTTCCACTTGTGAACGGAAAAACAGATATTTTCGATGAAAGAGTCGAGGTTGTAGAGATTCCGTAGTTTTTCGTCAGTGCAATCTAGAAAAATATCAATTGAAAATCTGTTCAAACTGCCATACGTATCAGAAGTGAGACAAGCGAAAATTCGATTGAAACATTTTTTGTTCTGTTGAATGATATCACAAAATCTCATAATATGCTACAGGGTGTCATCAGAATTCAATTATAGCTTTTATTTCAATAGTATACGCCCTGAATATAATTTATTCCGATGTGGAGCAGTATAAACCGATCTGTATTGCAAGTGAATCAACATCAGCCTCAGGAAATTGAAGTTATCAAACAATGGGGAAGTTTCCTTCAGATGAATTTCAGTTCGGAACTCTCCAGTTTTATGTCCACACTGTACAGAATGACGGCCGATAAATTCCAAGTCGTTTCCATTTTCAAATTGAAGCAATTTCTAAGTTTCAGGTTGGGAAACTGTGAAGTACATTCTGTCTGCTATAGCGAATAGCTAACGAATGAAAAACGAATGAAAAAAGAAGAAGAAGTAAAACTGGAGAACAAAAACATACATAACCACAAATGCACTCGGAGCAGGAATGCAGAGGGTAGTTGGCTTCATTCTGACAGGTTATGGTTGTGTTATTTATGCATTGAAATATCGCGAATAGAGTTCGATTCTAAACGAAAATATCATCGAATCAATGAATCATTATCAGCTACATTCAATGATACTATCCTTCCTAATTTACTGTCATCGGTCAGAACAGAATGAAGCCGACACCCATGGCTCCTTCCTCTTGTTGTGCCTGTCAGTTTTTTGAATGGTGTGGACGGACTCGAAGTATTAGGCGCTGTTGCAAGATATAATTCCCAACTTTCCAAGAAAATAGATCCGTTTTATTAAGGAGCGAATTCATTAGCAAAAAAATGACTGACAAGTTATGAATAACATATTAGAATATAACGATAGTGAAAAATTATAGATACCATCGCAAAATCTCATTATTTATCTTTATTAGTACTCAACTTCATTCAACCAATGAGCGATTTATGGGAATTATTCATAATACTTGACAAAGTAGGATTGAAGGACCTAGTATATCCCATTCCTGTTATGATATAGTTATTACGCATTCAAAGAACAATTTCCGGAAATCTAGACATATTGATTATGTCGGCAACGTCGTTCTGGCACAAGAAATCGTATTGTAACTCTGTGTGAATGTGGATTTTCAGAAAGTAAGTCATAGGAATGGTGGAGGAGCCAAGTTCCTCTTTTATTTATTTTTTTCTGAAGTGATTACAGCGTATTTTGCACTCACCTTTGTGAAAGAACAGAGGATGGAAAGAAAACGTCAGATATGGAACATCGTCGCTAAATGGGTTCCATTTAGTGGCTAGATTCTCAGGTTTTTCTTGTTTCAAAAGTAGGCGAATGCCTTTCATGTTGCGTTCCCTAAAAAAAATTGCAAAAAATCTAGCTAACCGGCGCTTTTCGAAACACGAAAACATCGATGCACGTGGAAAATTTGCAGGAAATTGAATAATAAGACTAAATGGAAGTTGCAATCGATAATGGACGTCATGCAAAGGATCTCTAAAAGCTCAAAAAAAATAATGATAGGATGTTGAAGCACTTGTCTTGAAAACATATCTGAAATATTAGTACCTATAATCAAGTTTTGTCGACAATAAGAAAACGATAAACAACGATTTTCTACAGTTGGACCAGATTATTATTTTGCCAATTACAATGGTATATATTGTTTAACGAGCACGGAATGATAGTCTTTTCCCACGAGAATGAAATTTCATAGGAGTGGGGCAATAGCATCCCGTGCGAGTTGAATACTATATTTTTTCTATGGCTGTAACAGATAACAGCCGAATGTTTTATTTTTATGGCTTGTAGCCACCTGAATTTTCAGTCAGTAGAAATATTATCAAAACATGATATTTTTCAAGAAGCAGGCTTCTCAAGAGTTGCACATCTAGGTGATACCATGGTGGAAGGAAAAAATCACTATTGGCATTTTGATCACCCTCATTCTTGGAAAATGTTCCTCAGTTAATAAAGTGTTTGAATATCTGACAAAAATCAGACCATCCGTTCGACAGAAAACATGCGACGATGTGGAAAATTTTCAAAAATTACAATAATGGCTTTGTAGCCGAGACAATGAATGACCCCGCACGAAAACACGGGAAATTGGCTCTCGGTCGAATTGGCTGAAATTTTACTATGTTGTTGTGGGATGGCTCATTAGAAAAATATGTGAGTTTGAAAAGTTTTGCATGTTTACTTTCTGAGATATTAGCCGACAAAGTTCGTGAAAACGTCGTATCGGGGTAGGATTGACAAAGAAAAAACTGTTTTTTAGTATAAATAAGACAAAATAATCTAGAAAATGTATTGATCCGAACTCAAATTCAGGTCTAGTTATGATCACATAAATTATAGTAAATCAAGGTGTATACGAGGCGCGGTCAAAAAATTCATTATTCGGAAAAAAAATCGAGCACTATTCCAAAACCAACAAGCTATATTTTGGTGGGACATTATAGTTTTAGTTTATTATAAGCTTCGAGAACGTATTTTGATTCTTGATAACAATCTCTGTTCGAAATATGAATTTTTAAAATTTTGTGTTTTACCCCTTCTTGAAAACAAATGACAGCTTGTTTTTGATCACAAAGAAATGGATTGATACTGTTGATTTAATGAAAGCTAAGTTGATTCACTAGCGAATTCAGTTGTTCAATATTGCCTTTCATTTAGACACAGGGTGTGTTAGATTTTGTTGAAGATTATTTAAAATGTTTCAATTGAATATCTCGAAAACAGTTCCGTTAATTTGGATCGAATGATTTACTATAATTTATGTGATCATAACTAGACATGTATTGGAGTTCGGATCAATACATTTTCTAGATTATTTTGTCTTATTTATACTAAAAAACAGTTTTTTTCGTTGTCAATCCTACCCCGATACGACGTTTTTACGAACTTTGTCGGCTTATATCTCAGAAAATAAAAATACAAAACTTATCAAACTCATATATTTTTCTAATGAGCCATCCCACAAAAACATAGTAGAATTTCAGCAAATTCGACCGAGAGCCAATTTCCCGTGTTTTCGTGCGGGGTCCTTTATAATAATTATTGATAACTCGTATTTTGAATTGAAAATCTCTGCTCTTCTAGGTATATTGGAGTCACCTTGTTCATATTCCATATTTTTTTAACAAGTGAAAAGATTTTCGAAAACTATGTATAGGGAATTTGAAACTCTTTATTCCCATATTTCAAAAAGTTTGAAGAATGATACATCCACTCAGGGAGTTGAAGGTTTGACTATGGTTTTTGCGGAAAAATTAGTCACACTGACAAAAAACTTGGGCCACTTTGTATATGGCCCTTTATATGGCTTCTGTCTATACAGGCTGTTTCTGAAATTGGGACAATAAATGGTATAAATAAATACAAAAAGCTCTAAGTCATTTCCACAAAATGTTCATGAAATGAACAACAATGGTAGATTTCGGGAGAAAAACAATTACTTTACTGACTAATGCAATGCAGAACATTGAATTACATCCATGTAGCCAGGAAAGTAGTTGTTTTTCTCCTGAAATCTACCAGTGTTGTTCATTTTATGAGCATTTTGTGGAAATGACTGAGCTTTTTGTATTTACTAAGAACTGAAAAGTGTCAGGACAAATACGAATTTGCGATTTGAAAAATCCATTTTTTATGTTGAAAAAGGGAGCAGATTCGTTCCCGAAACGTTCAAAGCTAAGTAAAAATTTTATATTTTTTCTATATACCTCATTTATTTCTCTTCTCCAAACTTTTTTCAATTCAAATTATCACTGACAAGATAGTGAATTTTTCTTTTGGGCTCTCTGATAGGAAAATTCTTTAAACGCAGTGACATTTTGGGGCAAATCATCTGATTTGCCTTACTACACGTATATTGAAATAATATTCATACTTTAATTTTATAGAAACGAGGAGAGAAGATCCCAAAAAATCTAGAATAATAACTTTTTGTATTTATTCAACATTCTATTCCACTATTTCGTAGTTATGAATGGTATAGATAATGAAAGACCAGAAAACAGGACGAAATGAAAGAATACATTTTTGTCAAAAAAAAAAATATATATTTTGGTAGATATTGAGCTGGAAAGTTTGCCTGAAACTCTTGTAAATCATTGATCAGAAATTGATAGCCCAACCCAAGCGTTTGCTTTTGGCGAAATCACAAGCACCGGCAGTATCAATGACATTTGCGATGTTGCCGGACGTTCAATAATACTTAAAAGATGTAGTATGTTGGCAGCACCAATTTTTTATTATTATTTTATTTATCGTCTCAATTAAAGAAATCCATGGTCATTTTCTTTATGCCATTGAAATTTTTTTTTGTTTTTTCGTCCTCCACCATAGTTCATATTGACAAAATTATTTATTCAAAAACAATGTACCTAAGATTATTACTCTCGTTATCCGATTGACCATTCTTTCGTTTGAATAAACAATTTTCCATAACACTGGACAGACCGTCAGCTAATCCATTGATCTTTCTGCATAAACACACCAAAAAAATATTCTACAGGGTGGTCGACCAATACGTAACCATAATTCAATGAAAACAATGATGTGCCATCGAATTATCTGTACATAATCCTTCACAAGAGATAGCCCTCGTAATTTGATGATGAATAGTACTCGCGATATACCCGGTGGTCCAGATTTGTGTACATATCGAGAGTAGAAACGATTTTGATTTTTCAACACCCTGTATGTCTTGAACTATGCAATTTTTTATGCCTCATCACATTAAGAAAGTTATCACTTGTGAATTGGTGTCTTTCGTATTTCCTAATAATATACAGGGTGTGTCTAAATACCACCGAAAAAATTCGAGGTTTTTCTGAGTTTCATATTTTTATTAGATTGAACTTTTTTATCCTCTGTGCGATTTTTGTATCTAGCTTAGTTTTTGAGGAAACAATGAAAATTCGATTTGACTCCAAATTTAAATGTAGGTGTTTTCAAGACTTCTCTTGAGACTACTCAATAAACTCAATTAGAATTATTGTCACAAGGAAACATCGCTTGAATTTTTTCGGTGTTATTTAGATATGTATAGGGTGATTCATTACAGCTAGGAATCCAGGGTAAGAAAAAAAGTTGAGTTTACGTAATATTGCAATGGGTCCTCAAGGAAACAATGTTTTTCAATATGCAATGGAATAAAACTAGATTGTTGAAACCAGGGAAACAGAAGATGATCTGAACACAGCAAAAAAATATACCTACACTCATCTCATTTGAAATAGTTATTTATTATACAAGGGAAAAAAGTAGTAGATTTTAGCTCCAGGTTGTGTTGTCTCGCGTAGCGGAGTGAGACAAAAAACCGTGAGCTAAAATCTAATATTTTTCCCGTGTAAAATACCCTATTTTTTTCTGTGACAGAAGGAAGGACGAATCAATATTGAGAAGATATTACATTATTTTGAAATCTGAAAATTATCGACGTGAAATATTAAGTTCTTAACAGTAGGGACACCTGCGTTATAGGCATCTTCATCATTCTTTTGAAGTAATCAAATATCTGATGTCACTTCTGTCAGTCCAATTCTGTGATTTGATTTCAAAAAATTTCGAATTTAGTGGTTGTTCAGTAATATACGTAACCGCGAAGTCGAATGGAAGATAAAAGGACTTGCAGTTCTTTCTCGGAGACGGTATTATTGACTCCTTTTTCAGAACTATAGCACAACAAAAGCCATCAACAGTGTATATATATGTGATATACAGTATGATGCAAATGTATGGAATAAATTCATTTCAAAACAAGACGACTTCCGAAAAAGAAACAAAAACTAGAGTTTAGAACTTTTTTTTCGACGTATTTTTTTAACTAGACGACCCTTCGATGTTCAATTCTCAGTAGCAGACCTCTGCAAGATTCAGTTAATCACATGATAATCCATTTTAATTTCAATCTCCTTATGCAACATTTTGACTGTTGAATAGACGATCGGTAGACCTTTCAATCAAGGTGTCACATGACCCCTATTTGTATTTGAAAAAATCGTCCATTACGTCTTTACTTCAACACCGGTGACGTAACATCTCTCATATGAATATCATGAGATGAGGCTTCAGAAATTAAAACTAACGTGTTTTTGGAATTTTTTCAAATGTCGCCCATTTCTGAAATAATGAATTTATTCCATACATTTGCATCATACTGTATATCCGGGAAAAAAGTCCTCACTTTTTTCCCACGGGAAAAAAGTAATTTATGGAAAGTGACATTTCATAACCTGCCAACAGAGATGAAATGCCAAACTTCTTTCCCGTCACAGAAAAAAAAACGTTATGCATCTGTTGAGAAATTAAGAAAAATATTTACACTTGAACTTCATAGTGATAAATGGAATATGGAATGAAAATTTAATAATTCTCAAAGTTTCTTGGCAAGTATGAGGCATCCATGGAATTTACTGCTATTGCAATATTACGACGATATGCCGGTAATTAATTATTGGTTACTGTGTATGACTAACAACTATTATTGATTTTTCAACGAAGGGTTATAATATGCACTACGAATAATTTTCTAATGGGGCACTGACATGGGGATGCAACTACGAAATTTCCTCGGAAGCCTTTATTATTTATACAGGGAAGTTGAATTTTAAGTGGAAAAATAATACAGAATGCAAAAAAAACCTAAAACTTCCACAAGAGAGACAGAATTAACTTTTTTGTGAAATCATAACCAAATATTTTCTTCGAAAGGAAATCTTTGTTACAAATCCACGTATTCAAAAAATCTGAAATGAATCTGGCTTGTATAAACTCTCATACCTAAGTATAGTGTTTCCCTAAATTTTGAAAAGAAAATCTGTCATGTTTTTGGATTGTCTCAAAAAATACGACACATTGTATTGATATTTTGAGGAGATAATTATCTTTCAATAAACCTAGCGATTTTTTATAATGTCGAAAAAAGAAGAACACCTGTAAATTCAATATCTGCCAACTAAAATGTTACTCATCACCATATTTTGAAGGATCACAAATATTCCAACCCTCTTTGTGTAATTTCAAACATTTTTATTGAAAGCAACAATACTAAAATTTGTAAGTTTATTGAAAAAATTGAGGGTGAGATTTTCTGGGTTCATGAGAATGTACCTGAAAATCAACTGGTATACAAAGTTATACATACTTAAATCGATAATTAGGGTTCTGCAAAAAGGAACATGCAGTAAGTGTCAAAATATTACAAAAGCCAATACTGTAATTGAAAAATCAGTGTGAAACCAGCCACGAGTTCCAGCCACGACTTCGCCTAATATTCAAGGCGCGCGCCATACCACCAATGGTCGTTCAATATTAATTTATATTCATTACTTACTTACTACATTAATTACTTAAACCTCCAAAATATGTCCATGGATGAAACTATTTTACATCAGTGAATTCCTCTGAGGGTCTATGATAATCTGTATATCTCACAATATTTTGTCGGGCAAGAATTAACCCCACAGGCCCCCTTTTTCGGAATTTCGAAAAAAAATCATAACTTTTTCAAAATACACGTGAATAAGAGTTTTTTTCTATGAATGTGTTCCTCTGATGGTACCCAATAATATGTATATCTTACAATATTTTGTCGGGCAAGAATTAAGGCCACAGGCCCCTTTTTCGGAAATTCGAAAAAAAATCATAACTTTTTCAAAATACACGTGGATGGGAGTTTTTTTCTATGAATGTGTTCCTCTGATGGTACTGAATGATATGTATATCTCACAATATTTTGTCGGGCAAGAATTTACCCCACAGGCCCCCTTTTTCGGAATTTATTTTGAAGTTATGATTTTTTTTCGAAATTCCGAAAAAGGGGGCCTGTGGGGTTAATTCTTGCCCGACAAAATATTGTGAGATATACAGAATATGATAGACCCTCAGAGGAATTCACTGATGTAAAATAGTTTCATCTGTGGACATATTTTGGAGGTTTAAGTAATTTCATGGCCAGCCATGAATATAAATTGATAATGAACGACCATTGGTGGTATGGCGCGCGCCTTGAATATTAGGCGAAGTCGTGGCTGGTTTCACACTGATAATTGAAAATGGTTAATGAACAGAATCAACAAAAATTAATCAATAATTTTTCAAAAAACAGTATTCAAAAACCGAGTCAAAAACATTAGCATTCTGTAAAAGGTTAAAAAATTCATCACATCTACATTATATTATGTGATAGGTATGCATACTCGGTGAAGTGTCAAAAATATCATATTTTTGGATGTATATAGAGAATTACATCTAATTGCCAATGAATGAGCCATTAGTTGATAAATGTAAATATTTTTTATTCATATACAGGGTGATTCACTAAGAATGGGAAATCTATTTATTTTTGTGTTTACTATCTGTTGTTCAGAGATTTCTCATTCTTAATGAATCACCTTGTATAAAAACAGTAAGTTGGAAATGCCACTTGGAGGCATTCTCTTCGAGTATAAGGAACCTGGATTTCAGATAAAATAATCATTGAAATATTCAAAAATTGTTCACTTACGGTATAAGAGACCCATTTGGATACACCAAATTGCCAACAACAATGCCTTCAACATCGCTGAACTGTATTTTTCTGCAGCCAAGGCGTCTCAAAGCGATAAAATCGTATTTCACTATGATTAAATTTTTGGCAGTTAACATTAATAAGCGTTCTTTATCAGTGTCCCAGTGATTGATTCTACAAAAACAACGATTTCTTTCAAAAACACTCCAGTACAGTGTTTCCAGTTTTCGATGTTTTTGCGAGATATCTCAGTTATCTTTGGATATAGAAGCTTGCGGTTTTCACGACCCTGTGTCACTTTTTTGTGCAACTCAAGATGGCCTAATCAGATTTTGCATAACTGTTTCCGTTTATAAGATACAGGACAATTTTGAAAATTTATACTTTTTGAACTCCCTCTATACCTACGAAGTTTCTTAGCGAAGATGTCAAATAAAAATCTTATCCCAAATCCAGTGGAGCACTCAATTTTTTTTTCGGGGTACGGTTTTTCAGATACGACTCAAACTTATGATTTTTCAAATAGAACACCCAGTATTTAATAAGCTCATTAAATTTCTTATTTTTTTCCTTCAAAATAATATACGATGTACTTATACAGTGTGACCCATTCAAAATGGAACCACCCCTGTATCTTACGTAATCGTTGGGTAAGGATTCTGAAATTTGCTGGAGCGAGAGATATACCAAACATTATGTTCTATGGCCAAGTGGGAATATCTGCAGTGATATACACGGCTCACCAACAGCCATGAAACTACCCCAATTTCCGGAAAATGATATTAGGAGTCAAAATAGGTCGAATATCACTTCAGATTTGGAATCAGGACGCCCAATTTACTAACTATTCAAATTTTTCCTGGAAAATTTTCAGTTCGGAAAAATGAAATTTTGTCGCATTTTTTATGGAAGCACCCCCGTATCTCACGTAATTGACTTTATCTTTGGACGTTCTCTTCCTCCGGCAAATTTCAGTACCCTACCTCAATAATTACGTGAGATACGGGGGTGCCCATGAGAAGTGAGACAAATTTTAATTTTACTGAACTGAAAATCTTCTAGGAAAACTTTGAATAGTTAGTAACTTGGGCGTCCTGATTCCGAATCCGACGTGATTTTCAACCTATTTTGACTCCTAATATCATTTTCCGGAAATTGGGGTGGTTTCATGGCTGTTGGCGAGCAGTGTATATCACTGAAGATGACCCCACTTGGTCATAGAGTGCATTTTTGGTTAATCTATCGCTCCAGCAAATTTCAGGATCCTCACCCAACGATTACGTAAGATACAGGCATTTTAAATGGGTCACACTGTAGATATAAAAGTTTCAAAAATGCACAAGAATCACTAAAACATTGAAATTTTATAGTGGGCTATGAATTTTTCATATAAAAAAGTTCCAATTCAAGCGATATTTCTATCGTTTTTTCCATGAAAAGGACAAAAACAATATCCACACTAATTAACTAACAAAACACACAAGTTAGGTACCTGAAAGCAACAAATAAATAGTAGGTAATGAAAAGTTCATAATGTAGAATAAGCACCTGATTAAATATTTACTCAAACAATAATTGAATTTAGAAATCATTCAGTAACTTATTCATTGAATTGTTCAAATTGATGTCCATTTTTCTTAACACACAATTGACACACATTCTCAATACGTGTTAATACAGTCAGAGGCACAACAATCTTGAAGAACTTCGTGCAACAACAGAAGCAGTTTTCAGAAATTACAAAGACATCCTTTAATGATTTTGAATGCATAAGACGACTCTCTTATCATAACTGCTGGTGTTCCGCAAGGATCAATTCTAGCACCAACACTATTTCTACTCCATATCAACGAAACGAAAGAGGGAGAAATGTTGACAACATAAATATGGACTTGGCAACAATTCCCGAATGGGGATCCAGTAACTTGGTAGATTTCAATGCAAACGAAACACAAGAATGCCTTTTCTCTAGAAAAGCCGATCTCACTGTGCTTAACATGAGCTTGTCAGGAGTAACCATACCTTTGAAGACATCCATCTCGATGCTTGGTATTACTATCAGCAATAACCTTTCTTGGGAAAATCACGTGAGATCAATTGCAAAAAGTGCATCCCAAAAACTTGGTTTTCTGTTTCGGGCCAGGAGCAATTTCACTTCCAGTCAGCTGCTTATGATCTGAAAGGCACAGATCCGACTTGTCCTGGAATACTGTTTCCATATTTGGAGTGCAGCACCCGAACATACCCTTAAACTGTTGGATTCTGTCCAAAAAAGGGCAATTCGTCTCGAGGATGATGCCTCGCTCACAAACTCACTCACTTTTCTGGAACACCGTAGAAAAGTTGGCGATCTTGCTCTATTTTATAGATATTTTCATGGACGATGCTCTTCTGAAATATCAACAATTGTTCCCCCCTTGGCAGTCCCCGCGAGATTAACCCGTCGAGTTGAGGCTTCGCACCCCTTCGTGGTCACTTTAGAGACTTGCAGAACATCTCTTTCCAAAGACTCGTTCATCCAACGAACAGTGAGGTTCTGGAACACATTGCCAAGGGAGGTGTTCCCCGAGGCATATAACCTCCAGAAATCTAAGAAGAAGACCAATTCCTACCTTACCTTACTTCCCTTGGTTCTCACGATGTTCTCTGAACATTACAAGATATCCCTTTTCGTGGGAACCAGAACGTAAAAAAACCATACCCCGAGAAAAAAATTGAGTGCGCTACTGGATTCTGCGTGAAATTCTCTATGGGCTAAGATATTAATTTGACATTTTCGCTGAGAAACTTCGTAGATATAGAGGGGGTCCAAAAAGTATAAATATTCAAAATCGCCCTGTATCTCAAAAAAAGGAAACAGTTATGCAAAATCTGATTAGGTCATCTTGAGTGTCACAAAAATAATGGCACAGGACCGCGAAAACTGCAAGGTTCTATCTCCAAAGATAACTGAGATATCACGCAAAAGGATCGAATAAATCTGGACACACTGTACCAACTTTCTCTGGTACTTACTGGGTGAGCATAAAAGCAGAATACACAGGTCCTTCAGTCTCATCCAGCAAATGAGCCATGCATTCTTTGACCGCCCTGTCTACTACCCCATCTCGAAATGTGAAAAAATTATTGGGGTCTTCTTTGATATTCAAAAAGGGCTGTAAACTCTTCTCGTTGGAAGTTGCTGCAGGTGAAGTAGTTGGAGTTTCTTCTTTGATACTCTTTGAACTCCATATTGTTTCTGATACTGAACAAACCGAGAAAAAACTGATACTCATCTGAGGTATGCTGTGGGATATTTTTTTTTGGCTTCATATATACAGGGTGATTCACGGTGGATGGCCTATTAGAAGTATCTGGAGAACGAAAAGACAGAACATTCTGAAAATTGGGATGCTTTGATAATTGAACATTCTCTATCCGTCTAAAATATTTTCATTGATACAGTGTTGCCACTTCTATCAGAAACAACTAGCAACTTTGTTATTTCAAATTGAACACCCTGTATTTCATTGCATTTTTGGATTCTTCCTGAGGAGCTGATTTCATCGATGTATCATATTTGGGGTCGAGCAGAAATGATTACAGAGATATAGGGTGTTCAAAATCGAGATTTTTCAATTTTAGTATTTTTTTGTGTCGAAACTATTCATTATCGATCAAAACGGCTTACATGTCCCTGTCTTAACTTTTGATTCACTATCTACTGGAATTTAATTGGAAAAATACAGTGTGCTTCAAGATTCAGAATTCTGATCACCCTGTACCTGTTCCAATTAAATGTCAGATGTCAGTAGATAGTGACTCGAAAGTTGAGATAGGGACATGTGAGCCGTTTTGATCGATAAAGAATAATTTCGACACAAAAAAATCCTGAAATTGAAAAATCTTGATTCTGAACACCCTATATCTCTGTAATCATTCCTGCTAGACCCCAAGTGTGACGCATTGATGCAATCAGCTCACAAAGGAGAATATGAAAATGCAATGAAATACAGGGTGCTCCATTTAAAATAACGAAGTTGCTAGTTGTTTCTGGTAGAAGTGGCAACACTGTATCGATGAAAGTACTTTAGACGGAGAGAGAATGTTCAATTATCAAAGTATCCCAATTTTCAGAATGTTCTGTCTTTTTGTTCTCCAGATACTTCTACTATCTACTATTCCGTTGATTCATGATAAAATCAGAACTAACAGTAGTATTTTCCATTTTTATAACAATATAATTTGTCTATTTTTTTTATTTTCACAGACGATGGCTTTTTGCGTCATTTCAATTAAGTACAGATTTTGCTTCACCAATCAGAATACGAAACGTAAAACGCAAAACGTAAAAAGTTTGGTTGTGAAAGCTGCTTAAAAAAAGAAGTTATTTTTTTCAGAATTGATTTACACCCTGGAAATTGCCTAATTATCTCGCTAATTATGCTGAAATATGACACCCCTTTACACTTCATTTATCTTTGAAGACATTCAGTACCTTTTATTCCTGACTATTTCCGACCTAACCTGAAAATTGCCAATTATCTCGCTAATTATGCTGAAACATGACACCCCTTTACACTTCATTTATCTTTGAAGACATTCAGTACCTTTTATTCCTGACTATTTCCGACCTATTGCTGGATATTTGGTATCTATTGCCTAATAATTCTGACTTAATGCCGTCTACTTCTGCATTTCTGCTTCAATGCCGACTGTTGCCATTTAGTGCAGATCATTTTCGAATAATGCCGATAATGCCTATATTGGCCAAGGTATAGCCATCCTTTTCCGAACATAATCGTTTGAAATAACCCTCTGAAACCCTGTATCCTTGGATTTAATATGATAATCCCTAACCGATAATGGAATAAAATACATGCGTGTTCCATTTGAACAAAAAAAGTGAAGAGCAGCTACCACAAGGCTGTCAAATGTATAATAACTTTTTTTCCGCCGACCTCATCACTAAGTTTAATGTATATGAAATCGTTCATTAATGACCCCTATTAATGGACGATTTGTCTATTAATGCACGATTGTTTTATAGGCAACCAAACATACACCGCGTGCATTCATTGTTTATGCTATAACTAGCGGAATGCATTTAAATCGAAAATATGGATTTCATCGACGATTTTCCGTTAACGGGTTCGCCTTTCCAAGTTTCTGACACGATTTTAATCCCTGTTTTCTAACACAAGGAATTTATTTCCTATGTTGATCATTTCGACAAATTAATGTCAAATGACACTAATGTCAGTAACAAGGCTACTGGGTGATTCTTAGAAGTTTCCGGATGGATGATGAATTCGCGAACCAAGTTTTCTTCATTGCAGGAGAAATGAGAAATAAAGTCGACGGAAAAATTTTGTAACCAACTTGTATATTAAAAGGCGATTAATGATCTCGAACATTAACGCACTCGCTTCGCTCGCACGTTAAAATATCTCGATCATTAATAGCCTTCATTAATACACTAATTGGTTAAATAACTATTAATGAGTCATTACTGTCATTAGGAAGGAGCTGGGATGCCATTCAAAGCAGTTTTTTCATTTTCTGATTATCTTGTCAAATCAGCGAGATATTGCCTTTATTCAATAACTTATTGAGACACCCGGTATTTTATTTAACTGATTAATATTACCTGAGCAAATTTCATTGATACTATATAACTAATATGAACTAATACTTCGAATTTCTTGTGAGAAACTATATTTACCCAATTTAGTAAAATGAATTTGTGATAAACTGAGAAATTGATCTACAATCTCTGCTATATTATCAACTTATTTTTTTATTATTTTTTGAAAATAAAAACTAAAGTGAATTAATTGTGTTTTATGTACTACATCCAGTAGGTACTACCTATACTGCTTCTATTTCCTTGTGGCAAAATTTATTTCCACCAACTTCAGTGAAATTGAGAATAATCAAGAATAATGGTTTGAACCACCACCACAATAATCACGAAAATACCTATACCTTGTGTATGTAAATTTTGCTGTTCTCATTTGATAACAGTTATCACTAAGTAGAACTCATAAGAAAATAATTAGCTAGGTACCTATATAGGAGAGTGAAAAAACAAAATGTACATACTAATTTCACAAAATGAAGGCCAGTAAAATCCTGTGGTAATCATTGAACACTATAAATAAAACATTTTCCCCACACATTTCTGGATCACATTTTCTGCATTATTAAAGATAAATCAACTATCTTATCAATATCAAACCAAACATTATGCTATTTTAATTAAAAAACAACAAGTAACAATAACTGAGCTGAGTCTACTCACTTCTGTTGGGTAATGATGATAAGGGGGCAATGAAAGCGTTTTTCCAATGACAATTATTGCGACTATTCGTATTTATTTCACTGGACGAATCCCTATCTATCCTATCAGAAGGATTTGTAGGTCCAGGGTTTGGAATTTTGGAAGTATCACTTTGTGAACCGATACGAAGAGTGCCTCCCTTGAATTCTTCAGGCAACTCCTCATCCAATGCCATCTCAATCATTACTTCTACTGGTAGTTTTTCGGAGAATAAATCACTTTCTACTTACGTTTCGATGCAATTATAAAAATTATCTAGATTATCAGATATTTGGTAATTTGACTCTTCGATTCCGACACTACCTTCTAGGAAACAAAACACAATGATGACATTGATGACACTTGTTCCCCTGCGGCCTGCTCCACAGCTGATTTGATTACATCAAGCACATCAGGCCAATAAGTATGCAACACACAATACTCTGTAATTGTGCTGCCATCTGTCAGTGTTATTGAAAACCCTGATTTGTTTCTATTCTAGGATTCTACTTATAGCTTCAAGTACAATCTGAATCTTGTACAATATAATAGTGCAGGGGCATAACATACTTATTTCCATTGTGTATAATCTCTGTTTCCATCCATAGATAATTATACATACCTCCAACTACAACTTATTATGATATTGATTGTACATTGAATGTGAATCATGTTTCATCGATTGAAAATGAAGAGATTTGGACAGATTTCATCACTCAGTGGTCTTCCCGACCAATTCAGGCAAGGCAGGGATGATAAAGTAATATCACAGATTAATAAACCTTTTGTTAATCTGTGGTAATACCAATCACCTCTGCGAAGAATGTTGAGAAAGGATGCCGTGGAGGTGGCGTTGAAGGGATTATTTATTTTTCTATTTTATAGTTCGGTAAACCATTACAAAAGCGTGTTTTTAGTGTTTTTCCTATTTTTTTTAATCAGCTAGGTAATTTGCGCCTCTGTTGCCTTCCTTGGATGTTATAAACCGTTTATCAGGCTCCCTCTCCGGAAACTAATACGCGAGTACTTGCTATACTGCCGCGAGTCCCTTACTGAAAAATCATTGTAAAATTGATTTTCGAAGGAATAAAAACGTACATTTGAAATTTTGGTGACAAAACATTTGAAATGTTGGTGGTGGAACATCAGTCACCATTTTATTCGAGACAAAATCGCTTATCCTGGAGATCCTGATCAGCATGATGGAAAAAAACTATTATATTATGCTGTTTTGCCATCGGTCCTTGATAAGTCACAGGCAACCAGATTACGAATAGTCACGTCACTGTGGTGGTAATTTTTAGTCAGAGACATCACAGTACAGCAATTGCTGACGTCACTATTACGTACTTTCTAAGACGTGTTAATCTCGGCATCATTATTATGACGTTGAATAAATGCCACTTAAATGGGTTGAATAACATGATGTCAGTTTCATGACGTGTCAGGGATGTCGTGTCAACGTCATGTTTCTCTATAGTTATACCCGGTAAAAACACTCGTTATATTTACATTCATATGCCGCCAATTTCATATACAACGAATGTTCCACAACTCAATTCCCTCAAATTGACGTTAATGTACTGTAAAAAATAGATACATAACTCACATAATTCTATTTCCCTTGAATTTTCAGCAATATTCCATATACTTAACTGTGGTACCTCATTTACATAACATTTTTACGTATTAATTATATAACATCTTCGTAACTATGATTATGTTAATATAATATCTCGAGAATTATGTCAATTTCACATTATTTTATTCACAACAAATTCATCTTCAACAAATGGACGTGTCAGCGACCAATCTATGTTGGATTGGATTATGTTGGATTCTATCCAAAAACGGGCAATTCGTCTTGTGGGGGATGCCTTGCTCACAAACTCACTCACTTCTCTGGAACACCGTAGAAAAGTTGGCGATCTGGCTCTATTTTATAGATATTTTTATGGACGATGCTCTTCTGAAATATCAGCAATTGTTCCTCCCTGGGCAGTCCCCGCGAGATTAACCCGTCGAATTGAGGCTCGCACCCCCTCGTGGTCACTTTGGAGACATGCAGAACATCTCTTTTCAAATACGCAAACAGCAAGACTCTGGAACACATTGCCAAGGGCATATAACCTCCAGGAATTTAAGAAAAAACACCAATTCCTACCTTATTTCCCTTGGTTCTCACGATGTTCTCTGAACATTACAGGATATCCCTTTTCGTGGGAACCAGAACATAAAAAAAAATTCGTTAATTAAGTTCGTAGATATGTGTTTTCTGGGTAATGAAAATGATTTTTCGAAATGAGATATTCCGAACAGTATATGTATGAACTGACGATGAGAGAATAATAAGTATAGATTATATTGTGCGTAAACAAAAAACAGCCCGCTCTTCCATATTCAAATAGAAACACTCTTTTTCTGCCCTATAAAAGATCACACCCCATTAGGCTTTAATGACAATCGTCTGAGGATTCAATTCAGCCATAATCGTAAAATAAAAATTAATCTCCGGCATTATTTTCCGTGAAAAAAAGGAAATTCCATCGACGGAGAAACGGTGTAAGTGGGGGAAATGGTCGAGAAAAAGACGGAATTCACATTCACCCTATTTCAACAGTTTGTCCACAGAACCCACCCCTCATTCTAAGTTGCGCTGTGTACCTTATAACATCAAAGAGCGGACATACAGCCAGGTGAGTCGGAATTTTAATTTTCGATTAGTTAGAGTATACAGGGAGGTCATTTTACTCACAAAAAAATCAATCGGAACTTGAAACTTCATCAGGTGTTAATTGATATACAGGATGTAATTCAAATGATGGCAAATAACATAGAATATATGATTCTACAGCTCATTTTGAGAACCTCTTAACTTACGAGCTATAGGGTGTTAACATTTTATTTCCTATTTTTGGATGTATGACAATAAACTAATATTCATCATACAGAACGTGGAAAGTAGTTGTTTTCTGTTGAATAAACCGAGAAAAAATTGATATTTCCATCACATGAAGAATGCCAATTCTCTATGTATTTCTTCATACAACAAGGGGAAGCTTTCGTGACTGTTCTATAATAATATTCTTGGAAATATTAGTGGGATGCAGTCTGGACCAATGAATTAATTAGATTTCTTCGTTATTTGTCATATATATACATATTCATTTTTTCATGTTCATAATTTATCAGAGAATATTCCTTTTCAATATTTTATTTCCTCTTTATTATTGATTAAAGAAACATTCACAATATGAAAAAAAAACTGTCACGTTTATGAATACAGAGAGAAAACCGCGACATAATCGATCAAATGCCATTATCTCAAATACAAAATAAAGCACCAGCCTATACTAAATAGTTGAAAATAATTTCCTTATATGTACCACAAATGCATGAAAATGGTTTATATTTTTCAACGCAAAAATGGTGCGTCGGAAGAAACAAATTCAAGCGGTCAAATTGTTGCAAAATAACTGAAGATTTCGAAAATAATTTCTATTTTCGGAAAAAGCAAAAGGGTACAATATTTTTTCAGAAAAATTCACCAGTATACATGCCACACGGACGCCACTGGTAGGAATATTAAATAATGTCCTGCATCAAAAAATGCCTATAGGTGCATGTCAAATTTCATGAAAATATCTTGAAGAGTATCGAAGTTACGATAAGAAAACGAATTTTTTCTTAAAATTCCAACACTCTGTAGCTCGGAAGTTGAGAGGTTTAGAACATATGTTCATATAAACTATTTCTATTTTGTTCCATGAGCTAAGGAACCAATATCCTGTAATTTTAGCCACCAGTATTGAATTACACCCTGTATAGGTTTTATTAACAATGTAGTTTGTAAAATTGATGAACATTATATTGGTATAGGTATGCTAAAAAAATTGTCCGCATATGATATTTAGTACAAAAATCATAATTATTTCTTCTTCAGTTTTTGAAAAAACATGTTTGAGCAGTTTTCCATGTTAATATCAGTTTGAAAAATATAAAACAGAATGATATACAGCGTACCTATCTCACGTATCAAATTTGGACAAAAAAATTAATCAATTCTGTTCAATCTCAGAATATTCAAATGTGTCATTTTCTGGAATTCATCTAGGTATTTTCTTCATAGGAGATAGGCGTTCATCTATTCAAATTATATAACTATCATTCTCGTGTCACGTGACTTAACAAAATAGTCAAAGGGGGCAAATCTCATTGTTATAGGTAATAGACAGTGGTTTGTTGGAGTGATTTTTTTTAATAATTACAATTATTGAAACTTTCCCAATTTTTTTTGAGAGTGAAATGTTGTTTCAGGATGCTGGCTTTTTGGTTTTTGTTTGTTGTGGCATCTTCTTCCAGTGATTTCAGAGTTGAAACGGCCAACAGCAAGGATGCTTGGTATGCCCCTGGATGTCACAGAGTGGGTAAGTTAAAAAACTTTGGTTTTCACTTTTTGCTCTGCACAATCGTGGATTCATTCATTTTCACAATAATTATTTCCTCATGTTTATTTAGAGTCACTATAAACATCCACTATTTATATTTGCATGTATTTATGCAATTGGGTATAAAGAACTCGAATCAATCTCAAAGAATCTACCAATTATTACGTATTAGGTATTTCCTAATTCCTAATCGATTAACCTACTGTAGAAGTCATCAAATCATAAATGGAAATAAGGGGACATATGTTTCGGATCTATAGAGTATCCATCGTCAGCCGATTTAGGAATCATTGTGGAGCAGAAAAAATTTCAAAACCACAAGGGAAAAAGGGGAAATGACACAAAAAGTAAGTTTCGAGAAAAACGCATTTCAAAGTTCAAAACCTCATTACTTTTTGGAAGTTGAAGGAAACTGGAATCAATCCACCTGGATTCATTTGATGGAGTATAATGAGCAATTAAGTTGAACAGCTAGAGATAAAAATCATATTTGAATGGAAAAATCATCGAAAACAAAAATAAGTCCAAAGATTCAAGAGAAAAATGGGGAATGTCCAAATAAATTGTCAAAAAACAGGATTCTTTACTCGCAATTATCTGCTCTGGTACATTTCTCCATTCTCGTCTGACTATCTAATGAGCGGTGAGTTGTCTTATAGTACATCTAGCATCTCTATAATTTGATCATTTCCTATAAATTCCACGCGATATGAATAGGAACATTCATGCAGCAATCTCATTATCTTATTCCCATCACTCAGACGTACTAGACAAGCCCAGTCAGCACATCTTTTTGTCGTCAACCTCGAAGTATGTCGAACAACTCTTTACCAAAACTCGTTTATACATATAGAACGGCAAAGCTTTGAAATTGTTTGCCAAACAGAGTATTCCCAAGAACTTA